GATAGTTTTGTCTTCTTAGACTGCAATATTGATCACATATTGATAACAAATATCATCTTCATTCAAGGCCGCCAGCCAAGGAACGTGACCTAAGTGCACCTTTACAAATCAACCATCACATACAACAGAGTTGCCACTCACAGCAAAGTCACAGAATTACGTAGGTTGGAAAGGCCTCTGGAAGTCACCCAATCAACCCTCCTGCTCAAAACAACTCTAATTAGATCAGAGTGCTCAGGGACTTTTCTGGCTATCTCCAACGATGGGGATTCCACAACTTCTCTGGGCAACCTGTTCTAATATTTGACCTATTTCACTATAAAGCACACAGTGCTTGCAATTTGCCTGAATCATTAATTCAGAAAACTATTTCTCACATATTAAAATCATCAAGACCACACTGAGTTCATCGCCTTACAAAAAATGGGGAAAGATGAAGGAGGTGTGTAAGGAAAGGAGAGGAAGGATCTGAGTGAAGACAATTTCACCCAAAACAGAGGACAAGTCTTTGCACTACTCTTCAGCAAGCTGTGAATTTCTGCTCTCCAGCACTGACACCATGACGTAACAGCCAATGCAGGTGAGGTCAAAGACAAGGTATGAGGAAGAAGAGAAGGGGGACCATGCTCCCCTTGTTTATCATACTCCTCCCTCTATTCAAAACTGCTTCACTGTATCCAGACACAGAAAAATGGTTTTCATGCAGGAACTGAAAATGCCATCTCAGCATCAACTGTTTGCAAACACTCAATCCTCTCAAAGGCTGACAGAAAGAAAATAAGTCTGATGGCAACAATCACATGAACAGAACCTGTGGTGACTGCCAAGTGTATGATCAGAGTAGGAAAAAAAATCTTGACTTTGCTGAACAAAATTGTCAAGTGATCAAAATCCTATCAAGGAATTCCTTCTTTTAGCATATAGGGAAGGTGGTTTGTGCGTTACACAAAAGTGAAAACCCCAAAATTAAAGATGATGGTCCTCTATTTAAAACACCACCTGAATAATTTTACTCATAAAAACAATTTGTAAGTGCCCCTGAATTAATTATGCTGACAACTACTGGGAACAGGAACTTATTCAGTTCTTCAGAAGATCACTTTCCAGCTATGCCCCAACCCTACGTCAGAAGAAGGAGAAAGAGGAAATGGAGCAGTGGTCTATAGTTTTTTTTTTAAAAACCCACAATTCTAAGATTCAAGATATTAATGAATATGTTTAGTGCTTCTGTATTAACCACACAGAAATGGTTATCAGAGCACCATGGTATTAAGTGTACACTTCAGATTAGGTGTAGAAGGAATAGAGAAAAGACATGATGATGAGATGAGAGAAAGAATGATGATTTTTCTTCTCTCCTCCCCCTCCAGCTCCTGCCAAACCACCAGCAAGTATTAGCACACTTTAGGTCTGGATACTTGCCAGTTAGCACAAAGGCCAACAAAACCAGAAGCTGCTAGAAATACAATAGTTTTTGGGGACATAAAACCCTAATAACAAATATATAGAGAGACTGAAGTTAACTACTCCCAGCTTCAATAAATACAGCAAGTGAAAGGGGAAAAGACTGAAAAAGCATCATGACAACCATCAACTATTCAAAGTGAAATACAGTAAATCCAAATTTCAAGTAGGAATCCCTCAGTTTCCTTTTTTTACTATTTTAAATAACAGGACAGGCTATCTTCACACCCCCAATAGCATGCCACTAACCAACAAGTTTTTGTGAAGCAACCACCAGTACATGAAAAGAATGGCAGCACTGTACTGTAATCAGAAGACACAGAAGGAAGCAGCAAGCTTTCCTTTCTCTGGAAAAGGCTTGAAGAGTAGTATTCAGTGTATTTAAAAAGTTTAAAGAAAGCTGTCAGTTTGCATCTCCTGAATTGCAATACCACACACTGCTATAGAACCACTAGACAAAATGGTAAGGGGATCCAGTCTACTGCCAGGGTTACAAAAATCATAGAAGCAGCTTTTGCCATATAGTGCCCACAAAAGAAAAGGCCAAGCACTTTTCCTCTTCACTCAGCTGTTTTACAATTGCAAGCCAAAGGTCAACTATCTTCACTCACTTTTGGAAACCAGCCACAAGATTACTAACAACCAGCTTAATGGCTACAGTTCAAATGCTATTCAATCAAGTCCCCAATCTGGGTATGCAGCAGTAATGGCACCATGACATCATAGGCAAGTTATCTGCTGAAATCAGAGGGAGTTAGACAGTTAGACAGGCATTTTTGCCTTCTCTCCCCACAAAGAGAAACATGAACTTCCAAGGAGTGGGAATTAAAGTGTTAGAGATTTTGTTCTTTCCTTAGTGTGGCCAAGGCATAACATTTTGCTACGAAATAATCCTTCGCCATCATCATATAAGCCATCAAACTAACTCGACTTTCTGGAGGTGCATCAAGACAGGTGTCTAATAGCTAGATTTAAAGAAGTCTTCACTACACGTCAAGTTACGTGTGCGCCTCAGCAAGGGATATCTAAAGAGCGAAGTGTGCAGGTGCATTCAACATGTTACAAGTTTATTTCTCTTCCCAATTCATTCAAGGGCAGCAGGATTGACCTGATTAATAAGACAGATCACATGAGGCACATAAATGGGATACCCTGAGATTTCTCAGTCATGAGCAAAGTACTAACAAAACAGATCTGGCATGTCTGACGGAAATTAATTTCCACAACCTGAAACACATTTGAAGTGAACCAGACTTTCAAAATGACAAAGCGCCACAGAAGTTTGTCAGTTTGAGTAAAGTGAATGGTAACAATTCTAACTGGTTTTGGCTTATTTGTCTGAAATCTGCCAGCTTTAGACAATAAACTTTACCATGCTCCACAGAACTCATCTCAACTATGTGCTGAAGAAGGATTCCTGAAACTCTTGGAGTTTCCACTAACTTTAGTGATAATCTTGAGCAATTTACCATTTATATGACTCATTTTACTCATCTATGAAGTAAATATGTAAAATTTGTAAGCATTTTCAGATTATAAGCTGAAAGGAAACACAGTTTGAAGAACTGTTCATCAACGCTTTGAGGAAGTGTTCAGCCCAGGTTTTGTGTAGAGTAGGAAAACCCCTCTCTGTATTCTAGGAAAAATACAATGATTTATGTAGTGTAACAGCATACATACCATCATGTTTCTATTATTGTGAGAAAATTTGTATCTATGGGATGACATCAAGTGGCTAGGACTCAAGAACATCTTACTATCAACCACTGTGCACAGTTGTAAGAGTTTTAGCACAGACTGAACTTTCAAAAGTCTAAAAAAAATTATTTTTCCTTTAATACTTAGAGAAGAAAATATTTTTAAATGAATGCAAATTTTACAAGACATTTTTTCATGTACTTCAGCAAACTTCTATACCAAACTAGATGAAAATAATTAAGAATACACTTTAAAATAAACTATATTTCATTATACTTAATTTTTCCTTCCTGTTCAGCATTTTCTACAAGCTGACTGCAGCTGTGCTCTACTTAAAATACACTATAAAAGCCAAAGGCAGCTAGTAGTAATCCAAAATAGAAGAATACAGCTCAGGTTAAGAAAAATAAATGCAAGGTTATCACAGAAGACTTCTAAAATTCTGACAATCTCAAATGTTTAAAAACAGCAATAGGAAATATTCTGGTAATTTACATAAACACTGGAATTGAGGTGTACAGGTCTAACAGGCATTTTTAGGCCAATTATGGGCCAGGGGTGTGTAGGATATATACAGATGCAATTATTTTAAAAGTTAACAATCTCAAAGCAGGACACATTTTTGCAGCTTTTATCTGTTGATGGCCACACAATATTACTGCACTTTTAACAAAGCCACAGTTATGTTATTGAAATATCAGCTATAAAAGACGCATATTAAGCCTACATGTAGAGGTTTTTTCCAACTTATCTTAAAATAGTAGTTAAAAATCAAGCCCTTCCCTGGCAAAAATTTTGAGCAGATGAGTAATCCCATTGAGGTCTGCAGGACTTGATTTGTCAGCATACACAAAGTTACAGCCTTACATCTGCAGGATAGGCACCTCTCAAAACAGTTTCTACTCAAAGTATTTTAGAAGGAAGCAGCTTAAAACACTTCAATACTAAATACATCACACTAGGAAGGTAAAGCCCATCTTATACATTTATGGAGAAATACTGACTCCGAATGAAACTCCACTAAAACATTCGATATGGCTCTTCTTCCTTGGAAGCAACAAAGCTCAGAGCTATGCTTCACTGAGGCCAAATCACTACGGATTTTTATATTTTAGTCTCCCCCAAAACAAAATTTTGGGCTTGTTCTGTGTGCCCTGTTGTTTTTAAATAAAGTTTTACAAATTCAAACATTTTTCAAATTCCTTTAATATAGCCAAGATGAAGCCTAAAAAGCCTTTGATGTATTGAAAGAACTACAGACCAAAATTCCTCTAATGCACTCCAACATCCGCTTACATCTGCACAGATCCATTAAATATGCAGCCACAAGTTTATCACTCGAGTCTCTCAGGACTGAAGATAAAACTCAGCACCAATATTTCACAGCCTGATGCTAAAAGATTATCTACTGAGAAATAATCTGATCGGTGTTCTGTGATATTGGAATCCTTGACAGAAGGCAAAGGAAAGGAACACCAAATTGATCTTGATTACTTTAAGGGGCTTCTTCTCATAGAAGGGAATTCAGTGTAGAGCTTATCTTGTACTTCTGCTTATTTGCTACCATGTTTACGACTAAGTTTTCAGATACTCCAATCTCAGAAGAGAGAAATGAGAGACTTTGATGCATGCTTAACACAGAAATGAAACAGCCTCTCCTGCTCTTAAGAGAGGTCAGACTGGGACTGAGGAAATCTTGAGGTACCCTGTTAAAAGGAGATGGCGTTCGCCGGGGACGCAAAAGAGGGTCAGGTCCGACGGACAGGAAGAGACTCGCGAGAGAAGCTGAAAAGCCCAGGGCGAAAGAGGGAACCCCCGGGCCTCCACCCTCCACTTACCTTAAGGATATCCCCCCGTTTGAAGCTCAGCTCGTCATCCGCGGTGGCTTTGAAGTCGTACTTGGCGATGGCTTCCATGCTGGGGCTGCCGCCCACGGCGGTGCGGGCGGTGGGAAGGAAGCGCTCCCCGAAGCCTCCGCTCCTCCCGCGGCCCGGCTCCGTCCGAGACGCCGGCCCCGTCTCTCACATACAGGGAGGCCGGGGGACGATCCGCCCTAGGGGAGGAGGAAGAGACGGGCCATTAGGGGAAGTGGCACGGATCGATG